AAGCACCTGTGTAGAAGCTGTCCATGGTTTGGTTGTTAATACATCTGCAATTGATTTTGGTCCTGATTCTACCACCCTTACTCTCATTGAGCAGTACCTTAACTCAATGAGACAACTGACACAGGGCTAGGCTGTGAACCTCCTTCCTCCTCTTACTCACGCTGGTGAGCAATGACTCCCCTGAGTAGCTCCATTGACAAGAATGGGGCTGCTCAGGTGAGTAACTGAGTGGGGGAATCACATTTTGGCCCCACTCAGCACGGGTAAGATCAGTAGAATCTAGCTCCAAATCAATTGTGGGGGCAAATCTGGGTTCCTGCCCCTCTCACGACCTGAGCTGAGACCATAGTTGAATTGCGGGTGCAAAAATGTGGCTTACATTTAGACCTGATGCCTGGGAGGCCATCATTGTGGATATACACACGCCACTCCTTTCACCTGGAGCCAAAGGCAGGATTCGGCCCCCTAATGAAAGACCAACCAAGCCCTTGTAAGACCTGGATGAAACCGTTTGCAATAAAACATGCCCCTCTCCGAAGAAGATTTTGCACCTGCTTTGGAGGAGTTAGGTTTAGCTGAAAACATCAGCAAGGGGCTGAGTTTTTGTCCGCTTCCACACAGACGCTTCGCGTTCACGTTCAGAAGTTGGCTCCTATCTCACAGCAGATTTCACCACAGGAAAGCGAGTGTCGCTTCCCACGTCACTCTCTGTGCACCACAGACACCTCCTGACAGGGAGAGACCAGCATTTCAGCCCATCGCTCTGGCGAGATGTGCAGCGTTCACGTTCTCGCAGCGTAGAGGCCCCCCCGTGCTTCGGGCCTTTGGTTTTCAAAATGATGACGCTCGGGGCCAGACGCAGACCCCTCTTCTTGCAGTCAGAGTCAAAAGCACAGTGTGCAGTAAGTGAAATGGGGGGGGGGTGTTTCGGCAGTTATTCAAACGTGTTTCCCTTGCGAATCACCCACCTGCTCTGCAGTTTGGCTGTCTGGGATGATGTCTGGGAGCAGTTCTGGCCAGCGGGGTGTTAAAAGCTTGTGGTGCTCAGCCACCAAACCACAGAGGATGATTCAGCAACTCAAATTATCTCACTTCCTCAGGCTGCTCCCTTTGGCTATGCTTGCGTGAGGGTGACACATGAACCCTATGTCCTTGTATGGACGATAACCCAGCTGGATGTTAACAGATACTTAATTTAGCCTGCATTAATTACAGACAAATCGAGCCTGAGTAACTGGGCTGGACGTTTGGGATCTCTCCCCCCAGGCTGTGGAATGGGAACAAAACCATTCGAGGGACATTACTGCAGCATCTCAGCTGGAGTAACCCCCCGCAGGCCTTGTGCACACCGCTGGGTAAGAGTTGCACTGTCAGAGATGGCCTGGATGGACGAGCTGTCAGAACTTGTCAATTTGTATCTGCTACGCCGGGCTTGATTCTGATCTCACTTACGCCAGTGAAAACAGGGAGAATGCCACTGGAAACAAGGCAGTTACACTAGTGTAACTGGTTACGCTGGTGGAAGAACCAGGCTCTGTGATTTGTTGACTCTTCCCCTCAGATTAACGACAACTGAGCAGTGACCAGATCAGTCAGCAGGATGGGGGTAAATCTTCGGCTGTTTGCTCATTTCTCAGGACAAGTGGAAGGATATGTTTTTAGCCTCTGGCACCCCTTACCACTGACCTGGTTCCATTAGTACCACTGTCTATTGTGGGCTAACGTCGTAACAAAAGCCTCCAAAAACGTCAGTGGCCCCCTGAAGGAAACTGGTTTCATCTCATATGTTTTGACTTCCTGCATTTTCTTGGTGAGCTTCTCTAGGAGGCCACCATATTACAACTTACCTAGGTATGCAGGATCCCTGGGTCTTCCCTCCCTTTGTGGTTCAGGAATCAGAGCTGGTGCACATCTCTTAAATGTTTGGACATTTTCTCCTTTGTGAAAAATGTTTGCTATGTTTTGACCGGCTCTATCAGGGATTCCCGTTTGGCAAACAAAGGGCGGGCTCATGACATCAGTGCACAGAAGAGTGGAAAAGCTGGTTAGGCAACGTCCATCCCATCCCAACTTTGGTTATAACTTCAGCCCCAGTGAACATAGCACTACGCTAGTGGCAAAGTGTCATCCGAATACCCAGCAACCCGGCTGGGGAAATCCATGCTTTGTGTTTGCCTCTCAGATCTCAACTCCAATATATTGCTCTTCTTCCTTACCTGGTTTCCCATGATGTCAGTCCAACTGTGCATGTAGGGAGAGCAGAACTAAAAATCTGAGCTGAACGGAGAAGAGTGATCACATTATAGCATGTCTAGCTATGTTTCTTACATAGGTGTCTGGCCCCTATTACTGTAGTATTTGAGCATCTCATAATCTTTCATATATTTATCCTTGCAACATCCCTGTGCAGTAGAGACATGCTCTAATCCCCATTTTACAGATGGGGAACTCAGGCATGGAGGCCCAGATTCGTAAATGTATTTCAGGACCTAAAGATTCAGAGAGGCACCTAGAGGGATTTTGAGAAGTGCCTATGCAGGTGAGGCACCTAACTCTTCTGGGAGTTGGGCAACTGGGTCCCACATAGGCATAGGTCCCACATAGGCATAGCATTGACTCCGTGGGTGCTCCAGGGCTGGAGCACCCAGGGGAAAAAAATAGTGGGGGCTCAGCACCCACCAGCCACACCTGGGGCCCCGCTGATTAGCTCTTTGACAGCTGGGGGAGGGCAGAGAGTGGGCAGGGGCCTCAGTGGTGGAGCTGGGTCAAGAAGAGGTGGACTGAGGGCGGGGCCTTGGAGGAGGGGCCGGAGCGGGGACAGGAAGGGGTGGAGTCAGCACTTAAGCACCTATCTGCACTTTTAGGTGCCTGAATGTCTGTGAAACTCTGGCCTTAGGTACCTAAATCCTTTGTAAATCTGTCCCAGAGAGACTAGTCTAAGGTCATACAGGAAGCACATGGTGGAGCATGATCTTGAATCCAGGTCTCCCAAGTTCTAGGGAGGTGCCCAACAACTAGACCATCTGTCTTCTGTATGTAGTAATTGTTTGTGTTTGATCAGAGCTTCTGGACCAAAAGCTAAGGAAATACAGTACTTCCTCTGGCGTTCTGCTGAACCAGCTTAAGAATGTCAGTAGATAGTGTTACAGATGGGGAGAGGGAGTTTCTATGTCTAGTGAGTGAAGATATTAGAGACACAAGGTGGGTGAGGTAATATCTTTTATTGGACCAGTTTCCGTTGGTGAGAGAGACAAGTGAGTCAGGATGGCTATTTGGGGATGGTTTGTGTGGGTTGGGGGAAGGAGAAATGGGAACCATTTAGGCAACAGTTCAGAACAATACCGTTCAGATTAGACTTTTCAAACCCAGCTCTGAATTTCTTGAAAGTCTTGGATCTCAAAGGTTTTGTTCATCCCATTGGAGATAGGGGCTGAGCACAAAGTTTAGATCCAAAGCTTCCTATAAGGTAGGCGTGTTGGTAAATAAGGTTTTGATTTGGGTTCATTTCTAATTTGGATGACAATGTTAATAATGAAACTTGTCTTAGTTCCTCAGTGTGGAACACCAGACAGGATTAGGTAATAGTAAGAAACCTCAGAGCCAAAATTCAGAAGAAAATCAAAGCAGGAGACAAGGAGCCAGTTCAGATATTAAATGTGATATGCCTTTAAGAGGCAATCTGTGATGTATCTATTTGGCAGTATTTCCACTTGATGGGGGGGGGCACAAGTGAAATGGCAGAAATTGTATGTCTGCAATGCCAATCCACAGTACTATGAAGTTGAACCTGAGCCAAAAGACAGCTCGGTTCAACAGTTATTCTGGTATAACCCTGAGCATACTGTTGGTGCTCACTAAGGGATAGTGCTGAAATCGGGGACCTTGGGGACATTACTGTACATGTGTGTGTCTGTATTGTTACAGACATACTTGCTGACAGATATTTTGAAATAAATTACCAAAATAATTGAAACTGGCATGATTATATAGTGTTATTTTGACAAATAAAATTTGCAGAATTTTAAAATATCCTGTGCAGAATTTTTAATTTTTTGGCACCGAATTTTTAATTTTTTAGCGCAGAATTCCCCCAGGAGTAGAATAGGGTTGGCTGGAATTCAACAAGCAGGAAGTGACACGATCCATCACTCTAGGTTTAAGTACAGAAAGACCCACCCTTTCAAAGTTAGATGCCTAATAATCGGCTCCTAACTCCGAATGTAAGAATCTAATGGGAAGTTTCCTTCTTATCAGCAATGCTGAGCACTCCCAGCTCCCACTGACTTCACTGCAAGTGAGAACCAAGCCATCCTCTTTTACATGCCCGATTAAGGATTTAGGTGTGGGATTTTCAAAAGCACACCACATTGGCCTAACTCTGCTCCTGCTGGAGTCAATGGGAGTTTAACCATTGACTTCAATGGGAGCTAAGTTTAAGCCAGCGCTGAGTGCTTTTTAAAACAACACACTGGGTGCCTAAATCTAGGCCTCGTAAGCATATTTGGAACACTATGGTGGATGTTAGACCTCTCTGTTATTCCCATGCAACTCCCTTTGTCACTAAGAGGAGAATTTGGCTCTTTACTTTGATCCCTTTTCCCTTGTTATAATATGAATTTTTTCTCTTAGATACAAAAGGCCTGATTCTCAGCTGGTATAAACTGGCATAGCTCCGTCGACTTCAATGGAGCGAAACTGAGATACACCCGCTGAGGATCTGGCCCCACGATGCACAAGGAAATCCCGTTATTGACATTAGCAGGAGAGGCATGCTCCTACGTAAGGGCACAATTTGGTTTTACACTTGCTGTCATGCAGAAATAGACGTTAGTGCATAGCACAGTTTTTAATATCCAAATGCGTCCTGACTTTGGTTCCTTACCACCTGGCCGAAATGCCCCTGAAGAACGCACAGCAACGCGCCCATCACAATTTTAATGGCTTTTCGGAGCGGCTCCTTTCTTTGTTCCCCTTTAACCACATTTACGCTGACTCGCCAATCGTACCCAACGTTTTATTAAACTGTACAAACAGCACTGACATTTTAAAAATTCATGGTAACGGTTCTAATTAAACACGATGACTAGCGGCAAACAGCGTGCACAGATTTTGCCTACATTTCATACAGCACAAACAGCGACTTCACAAGAGGCAGGAGACTCACATTACTGGGATATTCTTTTAACAGCACGGTGGTTTTCTTTTCTGTTTTAGATTTTCATACTGCTGCCCATCACCGTATTACGCTGAGTGCCCATTCCCTCACATGGGACCATGGCCACTGACACTGATATCCACAACGTGGTTGCACAGGTAGAAAGCCTCAGACAGTTTTAATTGTAATGAGTCACGAACATTACATTGCCCTTGGAAATCTCTAAATAGTCCTACAGATCCTCTGCTGGAATAAACCAACATAGCTCCACTGAAGTCAACAGAGCTACACAGAGCAGAGAATCTGGCTCTTTATTTCTGCTTTGACATGATAACCAGGCTAAATATTTCCATAAGACTATCAGTGAAAAGCAGTAACTTAGAGGCATTAGATCTTTCCGTTTCTATCTCTTGAACGGCAACTGAATAAATAGGATGGTAGTTTTGCAAATCTCAGAAGACAGCGTACATTTATTGTAAAGGATTTCCACTAAAATCTCATTACTGCTACAATATTTTTTGCCCAAAACAGAACATAATAGGTCAGCAACTTCTTGTCAACAGTTGAGAGAAAATAATTGCCATACCATGCAATGTATTGTCTCATCTTTAGAGTGTTGTGTGCAGTTTTGTACCTTGATTCAGGTCCCTGCTGAATACCAAAGACCAGGGGCAGCATCATTTGTAGCAGTATTAAGTTGTTCAGTCTTTGAAAGTACTGAATACTATCTTTCAAGTTAATACCTGCAGGGCAATGACTGGAGGCCCAATCTTGAAATCCCTAAATAATGTTTTGGGGGAGAGTCTCTCCATAATCCTGACCAGGTGTTAGGCAGGGGGAGGGATAGCTCAGTGAATATTGACCTGCTAAACCCAGGGCTGTGAGTTCAATCCTTGAGGGGGCCATTTGGGGATCTGGGGCAAAAATCTGTCTGGGGATTGGTCCTGCTTTGAGCAGGGGGTTAGACTAGATGACCTCCTGAGGTCCCTTCCAACCCCGATGTTCTATGATTCTAAGAAGAGACTCCCCCAAAGAGAACTCAGCCCAGATCTTACCCTGATGCTGAGACAGGAGTTTAGAGCAGCATTTCCCAAACTTGGCCACCAGGGGCTTTTCTTGCGGCCACAGTCCCTGGGCTCTGTGTGTGGGGAGTAACAGCCCCTCCCTCTCCCTGTTGCTCCTGGATGCACCACCCCCGCCTCTCCCTAGCCCCTCATCCAGGCCTTTGTTCCCAGGCTTGGCAGGGCTGAGTAAGTCTGCTGTGAAAAGAGATATTTGTAGGTTAATATCACTTTTCACAACGGACTTACTAGCTAGCAATAAATACATTATAACGATATGGACCTGCATAGGTGCATATTTAATTGTTTTTCTTAAAGCTAATTAAGCATTTTAGGAAAAAGTGTGAGAGCGGCCACCAGCAAGAGTTGGTGGCCGCACGCTGAGGCCACCAAAAAATTTGTCCTGAGAAGCCCTGATTTAGAGAGTCCTGTGTGAATGAACACCCATAGGGTACGTCTACCTTTGGAGCTGAGGGTGTGATTCGCAGCTCAAGGAGACCCAGCCACACTAGCTTTGATGGAGCTGGCGGGCTAAAAATAGAGTGCAGATGCAGTGCTGTGAGCGACTGGGGAGCGGGGATGGCCTACCTGAGTGTGTACATGGCTGAGATGCTAGGCGTGAACTTGGGGCAGCTTGATCCTCGCGCTGCTTGCGGTGCCACAGCCATGCTCTAAGTTGAGCGCACTAGCTCAGGCAGAACTAGCGTGGGTACGTCTCCTCGAGCTGCCAATCACACCCCCCGGTTGAAGCACAGCCACGCCCATACAATGCAGAGGCGATGAATAAAGCTCAGAGCTGAGCCTCAGTGCATTGACCTAGGGTGAGATGTTTAGTCTGTGGTTTGAAGATCACGTCTACATGTCCCCAGCCTGCGCAAGTGTAAGTCCCTGCCTGCGCACCTAGGCAAATCGAACATTTCTGTGCATGCAAGAATTGGAATTTGCATCCGTAAAGCCCGTCTGTGCCAAGGCTATTTTGTGAGGGCAAATTCTAACTCTTGCCTAGATCAAGGCGTTTTCAAAGAGTGCAGGCCGGTGTTCCTCTTCGCCAAGTGCACGGAGGTGTACGTACAATTTTACAGGTGCACAGCTGGGGGCTGAAAAGAGACCTACCTGGAAAGGTAGCCTTCTAGGAGATCCAATTCTTGAACACAAACCCTTTACTCAATGGAAGTTTTGCCTCAATAAGAACATCAGGACTGGACACTGGAGTAGCAAATCTGAGACGCACCGCTAGGGCTGAAATGCGGTTGTCTTACTCACACGAGGAGTCCCACCGGCTATGTGTGTGAATAAGGTGACAGTATTTTGTACCTACTCCTTTTCTATTGCCTTCAAATTCAAGAGCATCCAGAAAAGAGAGAGAGACCAGAAAGAGAGTTGGTCATTAGTGAAGTACGTTTGGCATCTGCTACAGGATACCACCAGGTGGAAACCCACAAACACGGTATCAGTTTTCACTGGTGAGTGCTTCTGTTCAGGTCCTCGTCCAAATGAACCATTCTTGGTTTTCAGTTGATAGAAGTGTTACTCAAATCAATTCACAGAATTCCTTTAGCAAGGAAGGTGCTGGGGAGGGCAGATCTCAGGATAACATCCTCTCCATTTTAGGGTTCACAAATGAAAAGTTGCTGAACATATTCTGGTCCATGCTGTTAATCAGCGCTCTGTCTGCACACGACAGTCTAGGTTTTTCATTGAGAAACTCCTTGTCAAAGTTGCTACAGTCACTTGCGGATTTCTTCAAGAAGGAAGAAGAAAAGAACGAAAAAATCAGTTGTTTCATTTCACAGCATTTACCATTTATCCAAATCTAATCTAATGGTATATTTAAGGCACCCATATCTTTGGTATCTAAGGGCATATCTACACTGTAGCACTGTAGTGTAGACACTTCTTACATTGATGGAAGGGTTTTTGCATTGATGTAGTTAATCCACCACTCCAAGAGGTGGTAGTTAGCTCAACAGAAGAATCCTTCCATTGATCTAGCCACGTCTACATTAGGGGTTAGGTCGACCTAACTATGGTGCTCAGTGTGCAAAATTTTTCACAGTCCTGAGCAATATAGTTAGTTCGATCTATTTTTAAGCGTAGACCAGGCCTAAATATCCATCATCCTGGGATTGGTTACCTTGGTATCAGTGTGGTATCAAAGTATCCAGTACCTGGGTGTCAATCACCTATCTATCACCGTGCTATCTAAGTACTGTAAATGGGAGTACAGATTATATAGGCAACAGTGTGACCCCGGTGAATTCTATCATGTAGGGATATTAGAAAATTGGTTTTTCTTTCTGTAAAACAGGGATAATTATGCTTATGTATCAGTCTGTGAAGGCTAATTAACCTGTGTTTGGAAGGGACTTTGAAGGTAAAAGGCTCTACATAAATGCTGTGTTGTAAGTACTATATAAATGCTCTTGCTATTATTGACAACATCAATGTTCTCCAGATTTCACAGAGAAGCTGATGGCTCGATTTGGTTTTGTACCTTAATTCTGTGTGTCCTAATGAAGGAAAATCCCATGGGACCAGTGCTTAATTTGTAACGAAAGATGTGCCGGGGCTCAAGCGATTAGGTGCTGGGCCTCAAACCATTTTTTTACATTCATAACTGATGCAGCAAGCCCAGAGGTGCCAAGGCTATGAACTGCCAAGCCTACAGGTGCCCTTGGCAAGCCCTGGCAGAAATTAAGCACTGCATGGGGTACCAGAAGTTAGGTTCAGCATTTTCACATTTGTATGTCTATGATTAGGTGCTTCAGTATATACTAAGGCACTTAACCAAAGGCCAACATTGTCCACCCTGTGTGTCCAAAGTCAATCCACGTGGAGGGATCAGGGACTGATTTGCAGAAGCGAAGAGTTGCCACAACTCCGCATGAAGTCAATGGGTGCTGCAGGTGGGAAATCAGCACAACTAAAAACAAGGCCCTAGGTGCCTAAATGTGGGTTGAGGTCCCTGACATTGTACCCCGGAGCTTGAAAATGTTGCCCAGTATGTCTGACCAGAGGCGACTACATTTGAAAGTGTTGGTCTGAATCCCGCTGGTGCTCTCCAGGCAGGCTGTTCTGATTGGCTGTTGGTGCCTGCTTCAGTGCTGGTACGGAGAACCAGTGGCATAGCCACAGGTGGGCCTGGGTGGGCCATGGCCCACCCACTTAGCATCCAGGCCCACCCCCAGCCCGGGCTCTGCTCTGGTCCCAGCGCTTGCCCTGCTCCTGTCCGATGCTCCAGCCGGGGAGTGGGGTCAGGGTGCGGGGACTTGCTCCACTCTGCCTGCCTGGCGCTCCTGCCGGGGCCTGGCGAGTGGAGCAGGAAAAGCCCCCGTGCCCCGAGCCCATTCCCCGGCTGGAGCACTGGTGGGGCGGGTGGAGTGGAGCAAGCCCCTGCGCACCCACCCCGATCTCCGGCAGGAGCACCGGGCAGGCAGAGTGGGTGGGGATGTGGGAGCACCCATTTTTCCGGGGCCCTGGGTTGGCTCAATGGCTAATCCACCATTGAGAGAAGGGCGAGCAAGTGGGCAGCCGGTGGCGGTAGAGGAGATCTTCAAAAAAGGTAGGCCCGCTGCCTGGGTGAGCCGGGCCCCTGCGTAGGGGAGTGGCACCTGGAAGAGAGCCGGGAGCCATGCATGCTGGAGAGCAGCATCTCCTTCCAGAGCTTGGTGCATGCTCAGGGCTCCGGGGAGCCCCTGGGCAGAGGGTCCATCCATTGCCCCCCCGCAAGGCTGGCTGCATGGGGTGGGGAGAGGCAGGCCCCCCATCTCTGCTGCCCTCCCAGCCCCCTCATAATTGCCCACCCACCCGAAATCGGAGCCCACCCAAATATTCTATGCTGGTTACGCCACTGGGGTGAACGCACAGTTCAGGAACAAAAGAATGTGGTAAGAAAAGCGTTTTGATCGGAGGGACCTAAGAATAGTCCTTACCACTCTGGGTTTGAATGGTGGCTCCATCGCCCGCTCTTCTAGAACCTCCCAGTTTATCTCCTGGAAAAAGGCATGCTGGCGGATGTTCCCCTTTGCTCCGAGCCGCCTCTCAGGTTCTCTCACGAAAAGCTGGAAGTTAGCAGAGAGCAGAGCACCTTACTCTTCTGTGGATAGCACCGTCTGACTAGCACACACGTAGCCAGGGTACGTGTCACCCACGGTACCTCTTTACTCAGTGAAAACATGAATCGTGCAGGCAAAGTGGTGCTGATTCCTAGGCCCACATGCCAAGTGGGAAGTTGAATCATCTTGTCCTGTCCTCATTATTTCAGTTTGAAATTTGAGGCCAATGTTTCAATGTCAGCCATTAAGCTGTGCCCTCAAAACATGCTGGTGCACAAGCAAATGGTGAATTGTGTGAACAAAATAGGTGCTTAGATGCACAATTACTGTACCTGTTTGCCTGCACAAATGCCTGCACAATTACATGTGTGTACAATTACCTGTGTGAGGATGAATATTTTGTAGATAAATCTGAGGCATCAGTGTTGGAAAAATTAGGCCTTGACAGCTGGAATATTCATAAGGAAGGTTTTTTTACCTTTATTTTTACCAAGCATTCCAGTCATCTGGTCTTGCATTTTGTGGGGCTCTCTGAATCAGAAAGGCTGCTAAGATGTGGCAAAGCTACTTAAAAGTCACTCCTTGCACCCTGTGTGTTGTCTTCCCTTCTGTTGGCACTTTTACCATGACACCTTGGCCCAGGGGCACCGGAACAACGGGGGCTATGCCCTCCCACTTTTTACCGTCCGTAAGGACGAGCAACGGGGGAAAGGGGTGGGGCCTCAGGGGAAGGGGCAGTGTAGGGGTGGGACCTTGGGGGAAGGGGCGGTGTGGGGGCGAGGACTCAGGGGGAAAGGGCGGTGCGGGGTGGGGCCACGGTTCGGGCGCCCAGGGCCCCCTACTGTTAGGAAGCTTCCACCATCCCTGCCACGGCCACAGGTTCCCTTGTTTATCATGATCAACTGAAAAGATAGAAGACTTTTCTAGCCCTAGAAGAAGACGGTTGTCTATGACACAGATTTTCAAAAGAGTTGAGCTCTCCTGCAGGCCCCTAAATGAAATGGCATGTAGAGTGGGTCAGGGATGTTTTGACAAAATGCGTTTTCACTAGAAAATGCCAATTGGACAAAAATGAGACTTTCTGTAGGTGAGCAGTGTTGTAGTAGGCGTGCTGGACCCAAGGTATTAGAGAGACAAGAACATATCAGGTTTAATGAAAGTTTCATGGGGAAAGGTTGCTTAGGTCCAGGATGGAATTTCTGGATAGAGAGAGAGGGAGAAAGACTGTCCCCTCCCAACATCCAAAAAGACCAGTGACTACAGAATCTGTTGAGAGGTTGGTAACCTAAGTTCAAGACCCATCTCTCCCTGACTCAGACCCGGGTCTCTCCACCTTAGCTAACCACCTTGGCTACAATGGCATGGGTCTCTGTGTGTGTGTTTTCATGAAAATCTTTCAAAGCTCTCTGTTCTCGTCCCAATAGAGAACAGGACAATTTCTTTTTAAATCTCAGAAACTTTTGCGCGACAGGAAAACCATTTCCTGCCCAGCGCTAGTGGCCACATTTTCCAAAGTGCTCAGCGCCCAACAGCTCCCATTGTTCTCGACACAAGAACCTGGCTGCTGAGCTCTTTGGGCAACCTGGCCCCCCAGTTGTAGGTGCTGAGGTCTTTTGAAAATCTGGCCTTTTATCTGGGGCAGGACCATGTCTTTTATGTGCATGCTCCTTAGCAAGCAAACACATAGCTGCTGCTCCACAACTAATAAGCAATAAGATCTAGGGCCAAAGGTAGCCACTGAAGAATCAGATGGAAGGAAATCCCAGCTACTCTTATTTGAAAAGAATGGAGTCTTCGGTTGTGTGCCAGCAAATCATAACGTGGCCGCAGTGTTGAAACAGACCAAAGGAGATTGATTGCGCAGCTGTAATTCAGCTATGTAGAGTTCCCTCTGCTAAATTAAGTGCTTATGCTAATGGAGCTAAATATTGCAACATGTATAACTATATAAATTCAGTGCTAATGGGAAGTGGCCAATAACCAGGCTAATTGTCTCTTTCTCAGCAAGGGAGTTTAGTATTTAGCAATAAGGATGATTTTTATTTCTGATACTACATTAAATAAAGCTCACAAAGGCTCAGTTTGCTTGTGCAGAAAGATGGCATCGTATTCACCAAAGAGACTCCTAGTCAGGCCTCCATAATCTCTGTCTCACACGTTGTGCTTTGTTTGAGCAAGCATGTTAGTACTTCATTATTGTTTATTATTCTTATTATGGTGGTTCCTAGAAGCCTGAGTCCTGCTAGCCTAGGTGCTGTTCATACATAGAACAGAGAATCCTTTTTCTCCATTATTATTGATGGAGCATTTATTGACACATAAATATAATGGTCCTTCCCCCGAGTCCAAACCAGAAAGACTAATATGAAACATGAGAGAACAAGGTGGGGGATGGAGACGATGTGGAGATCAATGTAGGCGTTAAGACTCAGGGGGCCTGGGATCAGGCCCATTGTGCTCTGAGATCCTCAGACAAACCACTGTATATAATCGTGTGTCCAGGTTTGGTCCCTCCACTACCGAAGGGATGTGGACAAATTGGTGAGAGTCCAGTGGAGGGCAACCAAAATGATTAGGGGTGTGGGGCACATGACTTACGAGGAGAGGCTGA